AGAGCCACTCTTGACAGTCGTGGTAGCACGTTTTCGTGTTGTTTCCACCAGTGCGGCAAATCTTTGTCATCCCCATAATAAATGATGGATATCTAAAATATAAACATAAGGAGGAACCAAGCCTGATGCATGGCCCGTGTCTGAGCTATGATGTGAAAATTGTCCCGCAGCCATACATAAGTTGGGGCCGTTAGGCTCGGGCTGAAATGCAGGGCTCTAAAGCGCAGCTTGTTGCATTTAAGCAGCAAAAATACACACAAAATGACACCAAAATGGCCATCCTGGCCACACAGTTAAATAAATGATAATATTCAGTGATGTGAAATGTGGAGTAAGGTCTGGCGCAGTTGCAGCTTGTACTTATTACTAAAACAAGAAAGCAAACGAGTAGCATTAATAGTCATTCATTTTAGTTAACATATGCTATGATAATTTGAACAGATTTTTATTCTTATTGTAAAATAATGGAACATTTAGGTCATGAATATTGTCTCAAAAGTCATGGAAATGTATTGGTAAAAATGTGTACGAACCCTGAAGGTCATATTATGAACAATAGAATTCCAACCAAGCAAGGAGAAACATGCATGTGACAGATTTATACTCTTACAGATAATTGTTCCATGATCCATATTCCTGGATACACATACCCAGTGAAAGAGTACTTACTGGAGGATGTGGTGGAATTGCTTAAGTGAGCTCGTTTACAGTTTTATGGAATATTTCATAAGTGTCATTCTAAAATGTGGGTCAGTAAGAAATTATGAGAAAGTAATACATTTATGCAGCAAGGATGCATTCAATTGACAAAGATTTCTGTTTCTATTTAAATGTTTTATTCATCAAAGAATCCTTAAAAAGATCAGTTACCATAAAAATATAAAGCAGCACAACTTCTTCAGTTGTAATAATAATAATAATAATAAGTTTTTCTAGAGCACCAAATCAGCATAATAGAATGATTTCTGAAAGATCATCTGACACTGATATAATGGCTGCTGAAAATTCATCTAATTAATCACAGGAATCCTTTAAACCAAGAAATGCATCCTTGGTGAACATAAGAGACTTCTTTGAAAAACATTCAGAAATCTTTCTTTCCCCAAACCTTTAAATGATAGTGTGTTTTATATCAAATTCACTGCACTGCTGGTTCCAGCTAAAACCAATTTAAGATATCAGCTTTTACATGGTTCAAGCTGATCCAAGGTGTTTACATGCAAATTAAAAAATGATTTAAAAAACGCAATGAAAATAAAATTCAGTATTTATTAAGCAGCTCTTTTCCATACAGTTTATCATTTTGTACTGTCTATGTCTGTTTGGATTGACATTTTTGGGTGAACTATTCCTTTAGGTTGGAATGACTTGGTGTTATCTCCATTTTATATTTTCCCATCATGTTGTAGCTCAGTGACTGCAGTAGATGCTCTACAGTGAGCTTGACTGACTGAACTTAGGAGTAGGAGTATCTAATTGGAGTATCTAACTTTGGTTGCTAGGTTAGAGCTACAACATCAGGACCGCATACCTCACTATAGGAGAGGATTTATGCACGTCCAGAATGTACGGCCAGAGAAAGAACAGAAGGAGGCTGAATACTGCGAGAGCTGGCCCTGCTTCGCCCGCACACTCAGAGACCGTCAGTCTTTTTTTGATAAACAATCTCATGGTGTTCTATACAGGCTGTACTAAATCTATTCCCATATTGAATGACAGCAACCACCATCTCATGCCTCGATGTGCAAGCACATTAAAATTAGAGTGTGTTCACACTTGTAGTTCAGTTCGTTTGGTCCGGACCAAAAAGGAAAATGATACATTTGTTCCTGGTCCGCTTAGCGTTCACATTGGCACTTTTGACAGCAAACCTAAAGACACCGAACCTAAAGGCATAGTGATACATTCACAACCTGATTGGTCAGCTTGAATGACGTATATATTGTGACGGAACGTACCGAACACCCCAAACAAACAGGTGCGTTAGACTTATAGCGGCGCTGCGGGTGTATGATATCAAAGCACCCATTAACCGATCGGTCTGCTCAGCGCTGCTTTAAGTCGAACACACCTACTGCCGTCTGCTGGACTAAGCACGCTCATTCTTGCGTGTACATATAATTTTATTTTCACCATTTGCAAACTCACAAGGAGCTCATAAAAGGCACTTTACCTCATCGTTGCTTCACGTTTGCCCTCTGCTCATTTTGTTTTGGTTACACCGTGTTATCAAATCATGTCGCATAGCGTCGCATCTTGTCATTACTTCCTGTTTTTGGTTCATTTAGAAATATTTGGTCCGTGTTGTGTTCATATTTCATTCCAACCGCACCAGAGTTAGTTTGGAAGCTCTCGGTCTGCTTGTTTGGTGCGCGCCAGGGTTCGGATGGCACCGTTCACACTTCAACAGAGCAATCACACCAGAGTTTGTTAATGTTAATCTAACCAAACATGACAAGTGTAAACACACCCTTAATTACCTTTTTGACGAATTACCCTATGGTAAGGCATTACATTTACAAACCTGCACGCCAGCCATTATAACAAATTTTTTTGTGCCTTTTAAAAATAAATCTATTGGTGGGGCTGCAGTTATATCCCGTTGTTGATGTTTGTCTTGGCGCTTATGAAGGTGAATTTTAAAAGCAAATATTTACCAGTGCTTGTTGAGTCACCATGATGTGATGTAGCGTGACTTCTCTGCTGTGTGATTGGCAGGTACTCAGACAGCACCACTGATGCGCTGGAGATGATGGATGATGATGACAAGATCCGGAGCTTATCATAGCATTGATCAGACACATCGTGATGAAAGAGGATTTGAGTGCTTTCCCAAGGCTTGGCTGTTTGTTTTTGTGTGTCCATGTGACTTGGACAGATGGTGAGTCTCCTGTAAAGCAGAAACATGTTGGCATGAAATGTGTGCTAATAGGTCTGCAGATGCAGATCCTCTCTCCTCTCCTCTCCTCTGAACTGATGTGAAATTAACTTCTCTTTATGTCTCTGGGATTGCTTCTGTCCACAGTCAGCTCTTTTATGTGGAAAAATATAGGCACGTGTGACATTCGATTGCAGTATATGTCAGAGAGGGTGAGATAAAAGCCACTTGATCTGACATTGGTAGGCGGCTCCGTTTTTAGGACAGAAATTACCCCTCAGATAACAGTGTGGGAATGTAATTTGTGCTTGTGGTGATTTAAGAACTGTTAGAAATTGTCTCTGAACTTGCCTAATGATACAAAATGAATTCAAAATGAATGTATCATTCTTTGATTAATAGAAAGTTTATTAAAACAGCATTTATTCAAAATAAAAATCGTTGTAACTTTATTTATGTTATTAGTGTAACTTTTGATCAATTTAATGTGTAGTTAGTTGCTGAATAAAAGTATTATTTTTTCCAAAAAATCTTAATGACCCCAAATTTTTAAACTTCTTAAAAAAAAAGTGCAATTATATAGACACATTGAAGTTGCTTTTTCTTTTCAGCATTGAACGATTCTAGTGTTTCTTCCTGGATGGGACAACATCAGCACCCTGAATGATATTCTCATGGCTGACCAGATGTTTAAGTCAGATAGATGTTTCAGTCTTTTAGTCACTTAGGCCCTGTTTGTAGTTTTACCTGTAAATAATTATGAAGATATATTTTTGTATCTCTACATTTCACCTGAGCATTTGAAGAAAAGATGCTAGAAAACTGTTGTCAAAATCAAAACGTGGATGGTGATAGGTGATGAGCATTAGTGAAAAGGCTAAAATACTGATGAAGATAATTCCAAACAAACTCTGTCATTTCGACGGAGTAAAAAAAAATTTAAATAAATTATATATGTATATACACACACACACACACACACACACATTACCAGTCAAAAGTTTGGGATCAGAACAATTTTTAATGTTTTTTTTTTTTAATGAGTTTCTTATGCTCATCAAGGCTGCATTTATTTGATCAAAAATACAGGAAAAAAATGTAATATTGTGAAATATTATTATGATGTAAAATAACATTTATCTATGTTAATATACATTAAAATCTCATTTATTCCTCTGATGCAAAGCTGAATTTTCAGCATCATTACTCCAGTCTTCAGTGTCACATGATCATTCAGAAATCATTCTAATATGCTGATTTATTATCAGTGCTGGAAACTGTTGTACTGCTTAATATTTTTTTTGGAACCTGTGATACTTTTTTTCAGGATTCTTAGATGAACAAAAAGTTAAAAAGAAGAGCATTTATTTAAAATGGAAATATTTTCTAACAATATAAACTACAGTCCAAAAGTTTGGGGTCAGTAAATTTTTATTCTTTCTTTTTTTGAAAGAAATTACAACTTTTATTCAGCAAGGATGTGTTAAATTTTTAAAGGGTTAGTTCACCCAAAAAATAAAATTCTGTCATTAATTACTCACCCTCGTGTTCTTCGAAACCCATAAGACCTTCGTTCATCTTCGGAACACAAATTAAGATATTTTTGATGAAATCTGAGGGCTCTCTGACCCTCCCATAGACAGCAAGGTAACTACCACGTTCAAGGTCCAGAAAAGTACCAAGATGATCGACAAAGTAGTCCGTGTGACATCAGTGGTTCAACTGTAAAGTTACGACGCTACGAGAATACTTTTTTGCGCAAAGAAAACAAAAAAAATGACTTTATTCCGCATTTTCATCTCTACTGCGTCACTTTGGATGCACGTTCACGACAGTATCATGACGCGACCGTGTGCCGGCGCTGACCCAGATCCGGCGTGATGACGTGATGAATGTAGTAGTTACCTTGCTGTCTATGGGAGGGTCAGAGAGCCCTCATATATTAATCAAAAATATCTCAAATTGTGTTCCGAAGATGAACGAAGGTCTTACAGGTTTACGAACAACACAAGGGTGAGTAATTAATGACAGAATTTTATTTTTTAACCCTTTAAGAAGTGATAGCAGATTTATATTGTTAGAAAATATTTATATTTTGAATAAATGCTGTGCTTTTTAACTTTTTATTCATCAAAGAATCCTGAAAAAAGTATCACAGTTTCCCAAAAAATTTTTGGCAGCACAACTGTTGGCAACATTGATAACTCTAATAATAATTCAGCATATTAGACTGATTTCTTAAGGATCATGTGACACTTTATTCTGGAGTAATGGCTGATGGAAATTCAGCTTTGCATCACAGAAATAAATTATATTTTAAAGTATATTAAAACAGAAACCATTTTATATTTGTGACGAGAGGGGCGGGGCCGAGAGCCGTGGGAACGGAGCGAGGCCGGTGGAGTAATTGCGAATGCGCGACACCTGCGCCACTCACCGGTCTCGAGTCCCACGGAGGAGCTCCGGAAGGATACAAAGGAGGAGTGACGACAGGGAAAGACGAGAGAGGACCAGGCCTGGAGTTTATTTTGTGTTTTGGTTTTGTTTGTGCGCGGCAGTCGTCCGCGAGGGGCTGTCGCGCTATTTTGTGTTTATTTTATTATTAAAGTTTGTTTAAATGTTCGCCGGTTCCTGCCTTCTTCCCGACTTATGAACTTTGTATCCTTCCGGAGCTCCTCCGTGGGACTCGAGACCGGTGAGTGGCGCAGGTGTCGCGCATTCGCAATTACTCCACCGGCCTCGCTCCGTTCCCACGGCTCTCGGCCCCGCCCCCCTCA